GGGGCAGCTCTCCCCTGTCTTGTAGGGTTGCTATGAGTTGGCTGTGACTTAAACGCAGTGGACCAAGTTCTTCACATTCCTCATTTGCTATTCTAAGCCTTTCTTTTCCTTACTATTGCTTCTTTTTTCCTTGGAGAAGTCTGATTTGATTCATCATCAGCTTAGGCTTTTCAATGTTCTAAGTGTTTGTCTCAGGAGCCCCAGTGGTTAATCACTCAGCTGCTACCCACCCGCCACTCCCCGGGAGAGAGATGTGGCTGTCTGCTTCCCTAAAGATTTACAGCCTGGGAAACACCATGGGGAGGTTCTGGCCCATCCTATGGGGTTACTTGCTGTGGTTGGAATGGATTCCGTGGCAGTGGAAATTGTTACTGTGTAGCTAGTCTGCACGCCCTGCAAAATAGAGCTGTCACCTGCCGTGATGCCTGCACTACCATTCTGGTCAAGGCCAGCACCCCCTTAAGATCGAATGGTGCCCAGCACTGCTCCGATCTTGACATTTCCGTGAAAGTGCAGTCATTAACTCTTGGACACCCATTTGCTTTCCATTAACCTCTTCTATTTTCCCCCCTTGCATTTTGTAAGAAACCTATCAAATAGACTTTCATCCACTGAATAAATTAGATTGAAATACAAAAAAAAAGAAGAAGAAGAAGAAATCTATAACCTTCACATCCCCGGTGGGAAAATGTCATTTGTGACGCCCACCCCCATGGGCTGTCGAGTTGATTCCAACTCATAGTGACCTTGTGCGGCAGGTAGGACTATTCTGTGTGGCTCCCAAGGGTGTCAGTCTCTACCGAAGAGGTTGACTCCTCTCTCTCCCCGGGGGTGGCAGGTGGGCTCGAACCACTGACCTTTTGGTTAGCAGCCCAATGCTCACCCCCCTGTGCCACCAGGGCTCCTCACCATTCACACAGCACTAATAACACATAACAATGACGACAAACCCGCCAATCCGAGCACGGAGCTTACGGCATGCCAGGCACTGTGCCAAAAGCAGCATGTCACGTGTTGGCACATTCACCTGATCCTCACAACACCTTATGATGTCGGGGAGCTGTATTAGCCTGAGTTGACCAGAGAAACAAATTCACTGACACTCCTATGTGTGAAAAAGAGATTTTTATATCAAAGAGCAGTTGTCCAGATCAGCCCAGGCCAGATTAAGTCCATAAGTCCAATAATAGCCCCCATGTCCAGTACTAGTCCATAAATTCCTCTTTAGACTCGTGCAGCACATGCAATGATGCCAAATGCAGGAAGATCGCAGGCCGGTGGTGAGTCCAGTGGTGGTGGAAGCATCTCAGTCCTGGTGCGGGTCTCCATGTGGCTCCTCCAGCTCCAGGGCTTTGGCTGCCATCAGTGTGGCCTCATGTGGCATGTCCACAGGAATGTCACCAGCAGAGTGTGTGTCCCACCACCAAGGAGGAAGAAAGGAGTTCCCAGAATCCTCAGGAGAAGGCCATGTGCTCACAGAAACATCTTTGGGTGTGACCTGATTAATGGGCTAGACTCCACTCCTTCAATCAAGTTGGCAGATTATGTAACTGCCACAGGGGCCATTAGTGTTCCCATTGTGCAGATGAGGAAACAGAGGCAGGGATGAAGTCCCTTGCCCAAGGTCACACAGCTGGCATGTGCCTAGCAAGGTCAAAGGTTCCCAGAGTCAAGGGAAGTCCAGTATGTTCATGGGTCAGTGCTGAGCCTTGGGGCCCAACCGCTGGGACATGCATGTCCTGGGGCAGTTGGGGTCCGAGTATCTGTGGGACCCAGGTGTCCTCAGAGCCGCACATGGGCTTGGGCTGCAGGTGCAGAGGGAGGCGCTCTTCATGAAGAGTGAGCGGCATGCGGCCGAGGCCCAGCTGGCCACAGCGGAGCAGCAGCTGCGGGGCCTGCGCACCGAGGCCGAGAGGGCTCGCCAGGCCCAGAGTCGTGCCCAGGAGGCCCTGGACAAGGCCAAGGAGAAGGACAAGAAGGTGGGTGGCCCCTCCCATTCAACTGGGGTGCAGGGTTGGGGGAGGGGAGCTCTAAGACTATCCCACTTAAGAGGAGCTTGGGAAATCCACCCATTCACAGATGGGAAACTGAGGTACGGAGACAGAAAGGGGCCACTGAGCAAGGCTGGTGTAAGGTGGTCACTGCAACTCATGATGACCACGGGGATAAATGTTGAGGGCTGACTGCATGCCCGTCACATGCCACATTGTTATCAAAGCCATTGTTAACAGAGCAATGAATGAGTGCCGGCACGGAGTCAGCTCCAGGTTATAGTGGACCGCCCTGCCCCCACCCCTCATGTACCTGAAAGCAGAACTGTGGTTCAGAGGGGGCTTTTCAGTGGCTGGTTTCCCTGGTGCACTCACTCCTCCTCACATCAAAACCAAAACCAAACCAGCTCACCGCCATCCAGTCGATTCTGACTCATAGCATGCCAGAGGGCCGAGCAGAACTGCTCCCTTGCGTTTCCCAGCCGGTACATCTGGACGGGAGCAGACGGCCTCCAGTTTCTCCGGTCAGGCAGCTGGTGGATTTGAACCGCCAACCTTTTGCTTAGCAGCCCAGCGTTGAAGCCACTGCATCACAGGGTTCCTTCCATAAAGATGTACAGCTCTGAAGAAGTGTAATTCTGCCTATAGGGTTGCTATGAGCCAGATTTGCCTCAGCAACAACAGAGTGGAGGGGAATCGTGTTTGTGGTGATGGTGGTGGTGGTGGTGGTGTTGGTGTTAGTGGTGGTGGTGGTGGGAGTGGGGATGGTGGTGTGATAGTGGTGCTAATGATGGTGGCAGTGGTGATGATGATGGTGGTGATGGTGTTGGTGTTAGTGGTGGTGGTGGTGGTGGGAGTGGTGATGGTGGCAGTTATCATGGTGATGATGGTGGTGGTGGCAGTGTTGGTAGTGATGGTGTTCATGATGACGATGGTGGTGATGGTGATGGAGGTCCTGCTGCTGGCGGTAGCAGTGGCAGTGGTGATGGTGGCGGTGATGAAAGTCATAATGATGACAACAGTTCTGGTTGTGGGTCAGGTACTTTCAATAATCTCTTTTGATCTCCTCACAACCCCAAACAGCCAGCTGGCATTTGTGACCTCATGTTCCAGAAACAGAGAAACTGAGGCTCTGAGAGCAGTTGTAAGTAGCTCAAAATTATACTGAGCCATGGATGGCCCCCTGGAAGCCTCGGGCACTTCAGCACAAACAGCCATCCAGCCCTGTTTCACCGTGTGTGACTTGGACAAGTTAACTCACCTCTCCAAGCTTCAGTTTGCTCTTCTGTAAAATGGGGATCAAAGGGTGGTGGGGCTTCTGCCAGACCGAGTTTCTCAGCCTCAACACTATTCCTATTTAGAGCCGGTGCTTCTCTGGGGCGGGGTCCCTCCTGGGCACTATGGGGTGCTGAATGCATCCCTGGTCTGTATCTTCTCGATGCCAGTGGGACCCCCTCCAGTTGTGACACCCACAACTGTCCCCAGACATTGCCTCATGTCCCCTGGGGGTGGAATCACCCCAGACGTGGACCTCAGGATCAGGGCTTCCACTGAGCCCCCAGTGACTCTGAGTCCCATGACTGCCTGACCTCCTGAAGTCCTAGAATGCCACACATGTTGACATTCACGCACTGAGTAGGGAGGAGGAGGCGGGCGATCACAGGAGCGGGTGGCCCCAGGTTGACACGGTGATGCCGTGATGCTGGTGGATGGACTCAGCAGGAAGCTAACTCAGTTGCTTTCTTTTTTTTTTTTTTTTCTCAGTTGCTTTCTAAGCAGATAATGCAGGGTCCCTCCCGTCAGCATGGCTGATCTTCCTCTGGGGTGGGACTCCCCTGGGTGTGGTGGGATGTGGATCCAGCTGCATCCCTGGTCTCCACCCACTTGATGCCAGCAGTGCCCCAAGCAAAATCATCTCCAGATATTGCCCAATATCCCCTCAGGGGGGCAGATGTGCCTCTGGCTCAGAATTTCTGATCGGCTGTGCTACCAGTGACTGCTCATTGGGATGCCCCTGCAAGGTCACCAGTTCAAAACCACCCTCTCCAAGGGAGAAAGATGAGGCTTTCTACTCCCCTACGGGGTTACAGTCTCAGAAACCCACAGGGGCAGTTCTACTCTGGCTTATAGGGTTGCTGTGAGTGCACAGCAACTAGATGGCAGTGAGTTTGGGTTTTTTTGGTTTCTTGAATAAGGAGCCCTGTAGGGCTGCTCACCGCAAGGTCAGCAGTTCAAAACCAGGAGCCGCTCTGTGGGAGAAAGATGAGACTTTCTACTCCTGTAAAGAGTTACAGTCTTGGAAACCTCTCGGGCTGTTCTACCCTGTCCTCTCGGGTCAAGATGAATCCGAATTCACCGACTGGCAGTGAATTTGGTTTGAGAGCATGGCCGCCATCTGACATGTTTCCACGCGCCAGCCAACGAGTGTGGCTGGGCACCCACGAAACGTGATTGGAACACCCGTTGCTGATTGTAGCAACGGCACATGCTGTTGTTACCTGTGTATTTACCACACGCCAACTTCCAGTCATTAGAAGATTTTTGCAGCTGTTTCTCTAATGAAGATCCAAAGGCTTTACCTGGTTCGTGTCACCATGGGCGACTCTGTTCCCAGAAATCAGCCCCCCTTCAGTCGCGTTCCCTCCAGCAGCATCTCTGACAACATGCTGATTCCTCCTTTGTTCAGGCGTTCAGGATTTGGAAATGATTCGAAGCTTTGCAGAAGGCTTTCAGCGGCTTCTTCCTCCGAAATGGGGAGCCGAGTCCTCCTTCATGGTCTGTTTTTAGTCTGGAAGCTACTTGAAACCTGTTCACTTTGGGTGACCCTGCTGGTATTTGAAATACCAGGGACATAGCTTCCGGCATCAGCACAACACACAAGCCACCACAGGGTGACAAAGTGACAGAGAAATGGTGGGAATTCAGGAAAACTGAAAGTGGCCAAAACGGAAGTGGAATACATGGAGATCACTAGCCTAGGCCTTCATGAGCTGAATGGACTGGTGTGGGCCATTTTGAATCGGAAAACCACGTGATTTACTCTGCCGGGAAGAACACTGTCAAGGGGACTGGCGTGCCATTCCCTGTCAGAAAGGATCTTGCTAAATCTGTCGGGAAGGACAATGCTCTCTGTGATCGGACTGTATCCTTCTGCCTTCAAGGAAATCCAATCAACACACCTGTCATTCAAATTGATGCACCAGCCACAAAAGCTAGTGATGACGAAATGGAAGAATTCTACCAGAGACTTGAGTCGGAAATGGAGCAGACATGCATGGATGTTTGGCTAGTTATTGTCAAGATGCATGGATAGTTATTGGCACTGGGAATGCCAACGTTGGAGACGGAAGAAGGACCAGCAGTGGGAAAATACAGACTCAGTGATAGAAATGACTAATGCTGGGGGTCACGCGATAGAAGGTTGTAAAACCAACAACTTGTTCATAGCAAATGCCTTCTTTTAACAACACAGACTGCGACTATACACATGGACTTCCCCGGACGGGATCCACTGACTACAGCGGTGGACGGACATGATGGAGAAGGTCCATCTCAGCAGCTGTCACCAGACTGTGGAACAGACCAGCAGTTGCCCAGATGTGAGCTCAGGGATGAAACGGAAGAGGATTAAAACAAGTCCACTGGAGCCAAAATATGATCTTGAGTGTATCCCACGTGAATTTCAAGAGCAGATCGGACACATCGGACGCTAATGACAGGAGACCTGGTGAGCGGGGGGAGGAGAGCGAGATCGCGTTCGTGGAGAAAGCAAAAGGCCAGTCAAAAGCCAGGAAAGAAGGACAAGATCGGCGTGGATGTCAGAAGGGACGCTGGTGCTTGCTCTTGATCGTGGAGTAGCTGAGACAACGGGAGGAGAGGGCGAAGTCAAGGAGCCGAAGAGAAAATGTCAAAGGGCAGCTCGAGAAGACAAAGCCAAACACTATAACAAAATGTGCACGGACCTAAAATTAGAAAACCGAAAAGGAAGGACACGCTCAGCACATCTGAAGCGGATCTGAAATGGAAAGGGCTCAAGGAAAAAGTCAAACCGAGAATTGCAATTCTGAAAGATTCTATAGGCAAAACATTGAATGACGCCGGAGGCATCAAGAGAAGATGGAGAGGACACACTGAATCGCTGGACCAGAGAGAGCGAGTCGACAGCCCACCCTGTCAGGAGGCAGCATCTGAGCAAGAACCAAATGTGCTGAAGGAAGACGTTCAAATTCCACTGAATGCATCAGCCAACAACAAGGCTCCGGGACTTGACACACAACCCGTCAAAATGTTTCAGAAAGCTGAAGAAACACTGGAAGCCCTCTCTCATTCTCATCCATGCTGGGGAATTTGGAAGACAGCTACCCGACCAACTGACCGGAAGAGATCCATATTTGTGCTCATTCCAGAGAAAGGTGACCCAACAGAATGCTCAGACTATGGAACGATGCCATTGATGTCACACACAAGTAAAACGTTGCTGAAGATCACCCAACAATGGTGGCAGCAGCACAGACAGGGAGCTGCCAGACATTGAGGCCGGATTCAGACGAGGACGTGGAAAAGGGATATCATTGCTGATGTCAGATGCAACTTGGCTCGGAGCAGAGAATACCAGAAAGACATTTACTTGTGTATCATTGACTGTGCAAAGGCATTGGACTGTGTGGACCATCAGACACTGGGGGTGATCCTGAGAAGAATAGGGATTCCCGAACCCTTTGTTGTGCTCATGTGCAACTTGTGCATGGATCGAGAGGCAGTTGTCTGAACAGAATAAGGGAATAGTGCATGGAATCAGGAAAGAGGTGCGTCAGGGTACTTTCCTCTCAGCACATTTGTTCAATCTGTATGCTGAGAAAATCATCAGAGAAGCTGGATTATATGGGAGAGAGTGTGACATCAGGAAGGCTTGTGAACAACCTGTGCTTTGCAGACGACACCACCTTGCTGGCTCAAAGTGAGGAGGACGGGAAGCCCTTGCTGATGAAGACCAAGGATTGTAGCCTTCAGTATAGATTACAACTCAATTTTCAGGAAGACCAAAATCGTCACAGCTGAACCAATAAGTAATATGATAAATGGAGATAAGGTTGAAGTTGTCAAGGATTTTATCTTGGTGCGATCCACAATCAATGCTCATGGAAGCAGCAGTCAAGAGATCAAAAGATGGATTGTATTAGGTAAAATCTACACACGTCCTCTTTAAAGAATTGAAGAGCAACGATGTTTCTTTGAGGACTAAGGTGTGCCTGACTCAAGCCATTGCGCATTTCACAGACTGGAATTCTTTACGGGAGCAGAGGAGACAGTGCTTTCGAACTGCTGACCTTGTGGTTAGCAGCCCAACGTGTAACCACCGCACCACCAGGGCTCCACCACACATCCCCATGCTCGCACGCACACACGAGTAATGTTTGAGCCCTTGTGATTCAAAGGCAACCCTGTGCATGTCAATCATCCAGCAAAGGGCTTCAAAGGGCTGATTTTCTGAAGGAGACTGCCAGGCCTTTCTTCTGAGGCACCCTGGGTGGATGGATTCAGACCTCCCACCTCTCGGTCAGCGGCACCTACACCATTTGCACCAACCCAAGGTGCAAACTTTAGGTGTAGACTCTGAAGTTTGAACTTCCTGTGATTTTTCACATGTCACAAAAGAGGATTCTTTAGACTTGATTTAATTTAATTACTATTATTATTTATTATTTGCATTCCTCAACCATTTAAAAAGGTGAAAACCATTCTTAGCTTGTGGGCCGTACAAAGATGAACTGTGGGTTGCTGTGTGAGTCTGGGTAGACTAGAGAAACAAATCCACAGACACTCCTATGTGTGTAAGAAAGAGCTTTATATACAAGAGCAGTTAAATATTGAGAAAACATCCCAGCCCAGCTCCGATCAAGTACCATATTAGCCCATATGTCTGATATCAATTTATAAAGTTCTCTTCAGACTCATGAAACACATGCGATTTTTTAAAAAAAGGAAACACATGCAATGATGCTGAATGCAGAAAGATCACAGGCCAGTGGGTGGGAAGTCTTGTGGATCCAGTGGTGTTGTAAGCATCTCAGAGCTGGCAGAGGTCTCCACGTGGCTGCTCCAGCTCGGGCCACTAGTGTAGTTTCATGTCTGACTTCTCAGCTACAATGTCTCACAGGGACTGAGCAGAGAGAAAGAGAGTCTCCCACCTCCAAGGAGGAAATACAGGCATTCCCAGAATCTTCAGAAGGCCATGCCCACACAGAGGCCTCATTGGCCATATCCTGATTGACAGGCTAGACTCCACCCCCATACTCAATCCTCAAATTGAAACCAGATTATGTAACTACCACATTGCACTCTGCCCTGGAGTTTGCTAACCCCTGAGACTGAACACTCTATAGAGCAATTGTTCTCAACCTTGCTAATCCTCGACCCTTTCATACAGTTCCTCATGTTGTGGTGACCCCCCAACCATAAAATTATTCTCGTTGCTACTTCATCATTGTCATTTTGCTACTGTTATGAATCTGGCGACCCCTGTGAAAGGGTCGTTCGACCCACAGGTTGAGAACCCCTGCTCTAGTGCAAGCCTTTGCTGCCAGCCTCCTCCTGCCGGCTGCGGGTGTCCCCAGCTCCCAGCAGCCCTCTCCCCTGCAGATCACAGAGCTCTCTAAAGAAGTCTTCAGTCTCAAGGAGGCCCTGAAGGACCAGCCAGCTGCTCCAGCAGCCTCCGAAGTGGAGGCCCTGCGAGGCCAGGTGAAGGCTCTGGAGGTGAGGGCAGCATGGGACAGGAGTGCCAGGAAGGGTTGGGGGTCCGCCCAGGCATGGGCAGAGCTATTTCCCTACCTTAGCCTCCATGACTATTGCGTTGCGGAATGAAGGGGAAGGGGTTCCAGCCGGTCCGCGCTCCCCCCTCCCTGGTCCACAGGAAGCTGCCAGGGACCACAGTGCCATTGTGGCCTTGTATCGGAGCCACCTGCTCTATGCTATCCAGGTGAGTCCAAAAGAGGTGAGTCAGCTTCCCCTGACCCCTGACCTGGTCTCCCCCCTCCCCCCAACTTTGGGGCATGCCACTGCCCCCTTCTGAGCCTCAGTTTCCCCATCTGTATATCGGAGGGAGCATCTGATCCCGGGGAAACCGTTCACGGCCGATGGGAACCTATGCGCGTTCATTTCCCTGGGGGGTGGGCTGGTTGGACCAGGGGTGGGAGGGAGAAGTGTGGGCGGACCTCACAGGACTCCCAGCACACTTCTGCGTGTAACTGGGCGCCACACGAGTTTCCGTGGATGATATTTGGGAAGCGGGTTGCCAGCCTTTTCTTTCAAGGCACTCTGGGAAGTCTGGCGCTCTCCATCCTTCAGTGCGGAGAACAGGCTCCGTCTGGCGTCCTGCACTGGCCATTCACACGTGGGAAGCTGCTCGGGCTCCATCCCTGCCCCCTGCTCCCCGCCCCGCC